ACTCATGCTGTATCTAATGGTAGGGAACTAATGTGGAGTAAGCAATGTTTGAGGAAGCAGTCAAAGCAGCAGCCATTTTTTCCAACCCCTGAAATTGTTTAGCCAGCTGGGACGAAGCTAAATGAGCTCCTTGATAAGGTTGTAAGTGTGTGCGTATTAGGACTGATGGAAAAAGGAAATCATTGGATCAAACAGAAGCCCAGTGGGTTATAATGCCCAGACATGTATGTGTACTGATTAAACATTGAGCTGTAGGTAATAAGCCAGACCTGTCTAGGTTTATGTACACTGAAGCTGATGCCACTGTGTGCAGAATATGAATCAGCTGGGTTGAGATGACTGTAATGCTCCCTAATCCTTTGTATCAGGTCTCGTCTCGCCCGTCTTAGTCTCAGAGCAGAGCATCAGTAAGATCGATAAAGTTTGATGCTGTTGTTTGTCTTTTGTATGTTTCTAAAGCCATTTGTGGTTCCACTTGCAGCAAAGTATGAGGACATCAAATATAATGGAATAAGGTGTTCGCCTTAATAGAGCTGTTATTGCATGTTGGTGCTTTTAACAGATGACCACACAGTGTACTCGATTGTAAATCTATACATTTTCTCAGATTTTGTGTAAAGGATTTATGTCAGTGTTCATTCGTCTATCCATCCAGTCCTTTCAATGTATTGAAAAGGCAGCAGTTCTTCAAGGCTGATGCTAACGTCAGCATGCTAACATGATTGTGATATTTCAGTCTGGACGAAAGAGGTGGATTGACCGACTGCAGACATGCATTGCCATCAGATAGAGTGGCAACCAAGATTGAAACAGAATCAATTTCCCAGAACTGCCTGGGCTTATCTACAAACACATATATTGTATCATCTATTGGAATATCAATCATAATGAATCATAAATCCAAGTGAATGTGGTTAACACATAAAAGTTCACATGAACACTGTGTGGGTTTAAAAACTCGTACTTCAGATTCATTGCCAGTGGTGCATTTTCTAATGATCTCTTTCTGATCTAATATGCACGATATATGTCCTACAGTTATTAAATAGTATATAGCCACTCTTTCCTGTTCTAGGGCTAGGTGCCACTCTGGTGTCATACATCTCGGGGAACTGTCCCAGAATCTGTGGACAGCCTCAGAGATAAAGCTGTCAGACTAAATCCTTGAATCTATTTGAGAATATCTTCTTGAGACAGAGGTAGGGAGGGGGACTAAGAGAGATATTGAAGTTGTCAGGGAGGCGTGTGGTGCAGTGGGTTGTGCGTTAATGTTCGAATCAGGGGGTCCAAACAGGTTCAAACCCCACTGCAGTCAGCATGTCGTTGTGTCCCTGGGCAAGACACTTGACCCCAAATTGCTCCTGTGGGGATTGCCCACAGCATTGAGTATGTAAGTCGCTTTGGATAAAAGCGTCTAACAAGTGACATGTAATGTAATAATGTAATGTCATTGAGGAGCAGACAGAATGGTGGCCAGAAGCATTATAGGAAGACGTGGAAACAAGTGAAGTGGGATGGGAAGCAGTTGAGGATGATAGGAGGGGAAAGAGCACAGCATTGATTCAAGATGTGAAGGTTTTGGTGTCAGCAAGAGGCTAACAGCTGCTCCAAACCTGGTGGCTTGAAAAGGTTATTCTGGCAGCCATATATTGTTCAGTTGTTAGTGCTTTTTGCTAATAGATAACCCTGGATGTCTTGTAAGGCAGGGGAATATATTTTATATGCAAAATCCCATTTGAATAAATTATGTTTAGTGCATTAAAAGCTTAACAGTTTGCTTATAATCATAAATTGGCCAGTATAACAATCTTTGGTAAAACACTATATGGTATGTCATAATGACACACTTTCACTAGCCAGTAACTGCTACAGTTAACTGGAGTTATCTCCTAGACCCAGCTCCATCATGGATTGCTAGTTAATAAAGTTCTCTACTGTACCTTGGGCACTCTGGTAGTCTCGAGGTTAAGGGGCCAACCTCGCTTAAAATTCCTTCATTTTAGAAAATGTATCAAAATATTACAAACTGTATTTTGGTTCCTTCCTATTCCAACATGGTCTTGCACCTTCATTACGTAAACACTTAATGTAAATATTCAAAGTCGATGTTTAAGTTCTTGCTTGCAGATGTATATGTCATGACGGTTTCTTGTAAATAGTTTTACACATTTAGAAAACTTAAGAAACGTTGGGATTTCCACAAAATAAAGTTGTGAGAGTTTAAACAACACTTGTAAACATGGAATGAGTTTGTAAATTGATTCACAGTTTCTGAAAAGGGATTTGTCTTGTCAGGGTGGGTGGGTTGGTAAGCATTGTTTGCCAGGGTTTGTGATGTTATTATGGTGTTGCAGCTGTGAGAAATAAACAAAGCCTTCTCAAGACTGAATGAGAATTGCAAAATCAGTAAAACTCACATTTACAATTCAGTTCATTTGTCTAGAGTCAACAGATTTTCTCAAACTAAGTAGTGAAAGCTTGCGATGTTAAATCACAATATCGGGAGTTTAAGACTTGCCTCGTCATTTAGATTGCTGCCACCTCAGTGTGATTGACAGCAGCTGAATGCCTGCTTGGCCGAAACACATCAGTCATGGCATTATTTGCTGAAACAACACTTAGTGGGTGTTAAATAATGGCTGTCACAAGCCAGAACAGAAAGTGTTGCTGAATAGTAAGTAATACATGACTCATTTCCACAGTGTAAAAATATGGATGATAAATGTAATCTTGACATAATGTGGTGGCAGCTCAACCTAATGATGTATGGCAGCATATGTTCTCAATGTAACCCTCCTGTGGTGAAGTTATTCTTCCCAATGTAGGTTTTAATAGACAACTCTTTTCATTTAATGATTCTTCAGATTGCACTCTGTGAGCTACTTGGGGATCATAATGATCTGCATGGGTATATTTAATATTAATATGTTGCTGATTATGTCTGTGTCTCCTTGTATAGATTAATTATAGCTGCAGATACTTACTGTGATATTTTTGTATTTACTCCATTAAATTAGTTTGGCCTTATGTGATAATAGATGGATGGCACTGAATTTTACATTTCAGCTGCAATGAGCAGCGAAATGTGGATATTTGTGAATAAAAGGATGAATAACTACATATTAAAAATCTTGTGTGCTTAAAGGTGGGGTAGGTAATTTAGGAGAAACCAGCTCGAGTGCGCTAGAATTTGAAAATACACAGCCGGAAAAAATCTGCCACTTCCTTACAGAGCCCCTCCTCCAACACACACGAATGCGCACATGGCCAATGAGGGCACGAGATAAGTTTGTGCACAGATGGAAGGCTGACAGGCAGGTAGGCCATCCAGTTATTTTAGCCGGGCCGGCTAAAATGATTGGTCGTGCTTTTTACAGTACTACGGCTTCCACAGATGACATTTTTTTATGGATTTTTTGTCAAAGCACTTAAGATATTCATTGCTATCGGGATGTTAAGAGCATTCCATGGAATATAACAAAAAGTGTATCTCGAGCCGGTTTCTCAAACTTACCTACCCCACCTTTAAATAAAGTACAGTAATACCATAAATTTAAAGGTAATCACCATTAGTTTGCAAAAATATAATAAACATTCTCAAAGAATAAGCTCACTATATTTTACTTTTGTAAAACGATTTCAAATAAGCACACAGTCTGTTTTTAGCCTTCAGTCCCACTCGGAAGTGTTTTCACAGATTTTCACAACCTTTTTGCTAGCAGGGGCAGCTGGAAAGACTTGCTTTGTTTGTTCTTCACCTATTCCAATTATAGAGCTATACCCTACCGTGGAGTGGGCATTACGATTTCAGAGGACCCTGCATTATGAAGAGGATAAGCCCAGTCGGTGACAGAGTTTGTGTATCAGGGAGTAGATAAGGTCATGAGCTGGCAGAGGAAGAGGAGGTGGAAGTTGAGAGTGAGGTGAAAGAGGAGGAGGACAGAGATGATGATTGTTTCCGTAACCCTGTCTCTGCCAAGTAGCTCAGTTGTTCATTCAAAGTGATCCTGGACTGCATTCATCCTGCTTAATTACTAAGCTCCAGTCATAAGATTGCTCTTTGCAGAATTAATTGTGTTTGAGTGTGTATGTGTATGTATTTGTGAATAATGAGGCTTAAGTGGATTTGCGCTTGTAATGAGCTTTGTGAAGTGATGAGTGGAACTTTGTTGTTGAGTAAGTCGTTCGATAGGCTGCAGCACGACATAAAGTCACAACCCTGTCCAACGTAAAGACGGGGAACTAATCAAAAGGAGATAGATCACTGAGTGGATGACATTAGCTTTATACTGTAGGAGTTAGGGAATGCACAAAACTTTGTTAAATTACTTTTTTTAAGTAAGCACATTTTGTCAGTGACTTAATGAGGGTCTACACAGACACTTTTATTCGGGAGCTTTTTTTATGTAGAGTGGAATATTTTAACAATCCTTAAAATATGTTCTTGTACGTAATGAGATAATTTAACAAGATGCTAGTGTTACGTATAAGAACAAGTTGTGCTTTGAATCCAGCACTAATGTAGTCTTTTTTAGGAGTTGGGAGTTTCCTACAGCAAGAAACAGAACATTTTAGAGAACGTAAAATGTTATTTCATGTCATGTTCAATGCCGGCATTAATTTGTACCGATCTGTATCCACTGTATGCATTACAAGGATTCCTGGATCAATGGATGCTCTTGTCTTCCCAGTGACAATTAAATTGTTTCTCATTTCATTACAAGTCGATTCTAATCCAGGAGCACATCCTGCCGTTTTTCTTTGTGTGTATAATGAAATGGAAAAACAAATGATGTGCTCTGCATGTAAGTAACGATATGACTCGTCGTGTCTGCCAATCTAGAAATCTTGTTAAACTCCCTGCAAACAGAGAGGAAGAAAAAGTGGCAAATCTTATTTCTTGATTTAAAAACAGGAACAAAATGGCAGTTTATTGGGATTTAGCATGCGTGTAAGCAAATAAACCTCATGTTCACATGTGTACTTGCTTCTGTTTCCAGGTGAACACAGCCATGCATGAGGCCAAGCTGGTGGAGGAGTGTGATGAGCTGGTGGAGATCATCCGCCAGAGGAAACAGGTCATTGCCGTGAAGATCAAAGAATCCAAGGTAAAGTCTAACCAGGAAGCCTTCAGACCCTTTTCAGTTTTCAGCTCATAGTATGTACATTTGAGTTATATTACAGACTGTTTTTATTAAATTCCTATCGTTTTATAAGTATAGCTATTCCAACAATTACGTCACACTGACAGTTGAAGCAGCCAAATTGGCCAGTACATATTTAAGGAACTCAACTCGAGGTCATCCTCCACTTGTGCAGAATCAGTGTTTTTGTACCAGACAATAAATATGACAGCAGCAGCACTGTGGGCAGAATATATTCATTATAATATCTGTTATTTGTTGGCTGTCTCTGTAGTTCTCCACTTGTTATCCCAAACAAACATCACATGCAGGCGAGGAAAAAGAGAGCCGTAACGACCTCTTCTATGTAAACAGACCATCTGAATGTCTGTAAAAGCCTTCATGGCAGATGATGGCAGCAAAGACTGTTTTGAAGTTGCTGCAGGAAATACTGTCCAGACATTTACAGTACGTGTGTGTGTGTGTGTGGACATACACTTTATGAGTGGTTCGTTGACGTTTAAGGGCTTCAAGACAGAGGCAAACTCTAAATCTCACCCTCCCAGAGGTGAAGTTTTAAGTGCTTGTGGAAGATCCTCTGAGGCAGCAAAAGAGCTTTGTCGAGAGATGAAAGATTTCCAAACACTGAACCCAAGGACCGCAGTAGGTGTGTGAGTGTGTGTACGGGTGAGAGAGAGAACAAGTGTGTCAGAGTGTGTCCGCAGTGATTGCAGACAAAAGGAGCGAGGCTTGTTCTCCTGAGAGTCTTGCTCTGTAAAAAGGCTGTCTGGTAGAGGAGGGAGATGCAGGAGTCACAGGAAGGAAGGAAGTGCACAGGAAACACCAGAGGAGCGCTTGATTGATGCCAGCCTGCAGGGTACTATTTGAGTCTTTTTAAGGGTCAGGAAAGATGAATGAAATGCACCGTGAGTATTTCAATTAATCAGAAGTGTGTTGAAATAGATATTTGAGAGGAGAGGAGAAAAAAGTAGAACACTACAGCAGGTCACGTAAGGGAAGGTTGTTTAAGGCATTTTAGCTCAAAGTGTTGCAAAGGAAATGTTGAGAGGTGAGACGCAGCAGGATAACAGGATTATGAAGGTGTGATGATGGCTAGCTGAGCACGCTGCTCCTATTTTCTCCCTAAGGAGACTCAGCAGACATGCCTAATCTCTCCCTGCCCAAACAAAACACACACTTTTCCCAACTTCTGGTGTGTGTACAGTAAGAGCGTATTTATCATGTGACTGTGCTTGGCTTCTCTCTGTTAACTATTTAACTCTTCTGGAGCCTTGAGGATTAACAACTCAAATCTGTTTAGGGTGTTTAGACAAATCACTTGATTTCTAAAAACAGCCGTTATTGGCAGAGTCGTTTTAACCTTCAGTTTACAGGTTTATGGCTAGTAGATGTAAAAAACAACAGCATTATACGTTTATTTAAAGTGGACCTATCATGCTATATTTGAATAATATAGTGTAGGACCATACCTATATAAGGCATATTTATACTTTTTTTTTTTCAAAATACCAAACAGATCATGCATTTTAGCCATGCCTCATTTTGCTCAATTTGACAATTTCTAGCTCTGGGCAGATTCAGTGAGAACAGCACCACCTACAGGCCTGGCATATGTACTACAGCGTCTCCAGCGCTTTCGAACGGCAATGGCCGTGGCTGTCTCCTCCTGATTGGTGGAGTTGGCCCAATAGCCGTAGCGCCACTGTCCTGACGTCAGTAAAGTGTTCAAATCAGGATCAGTTTTTATCAGATCCGTTGCAGCCCCTTTTTTAGAGATTTGGGTATGGAGGAAAATAGAGAGGGTTGTGTTTTCTGACACTTGGTGAGTTCCCTGGAACACCGGGGACACATATTCATGTATAAAAGACGTACAAAAGTGCATTTTGCATGATAGGTCCCCTTTAAGTAAAAACCTGTCTGATTACATTTACCTAACAATAATCTCTCATTGCCATGCCAATTGTGACTGCTGTGTCTCAAAAGAAAAATGCAGAAGTAGTGTGTATTGTCTCAGCACCGAAATCCTCTTAATGTGAAGGTCACACTGGATTGTTTGGTGTACAAAGCATGTGACTTCTGTTCGCATCCAGCTTCCTGCGCACAGCCCAAGTTGGTTTCTACTTATAAGTATCTTTCAAGAAAATGGCAAAAATGAATAGTTAATATAATAGACAATTTGGGAAGGGCAATTGTTTTCTTTCCAGTCAGAAGTATAATAATAATTTATGGTATTTATTTTAGCGCTTTTCCAAGGGCTCAGAGTGCTTTAGATTACATATATTAGAGATACAATACACACAGGAGCAATTTAGGGTGAAGTGTCTTGCCCAAGGACACAACGGCATGTTGACTGCAGTGGTGGGGAAGGTGGGATTGAACCTGTTCTTCCCCGGTCCCCCGATCTGATGATCAGCGCTCTAAAGCACTGCTCTAGGATGAGAAGATACCACTCTCACTGTCTATACAATACAATATACATTATAGCTGGAGCTAGCAGCTGGTTGGATTTGCATCACATCAAATAAGCATAGAGTTTAGAAAGAGTGGAAAGAGAGAGAGATAGAAAGCACGGCTAACCAAGTTAACCAACTAGCTTAATAAGTTACTGCTTATCTGTCCAAAATGAGATGCAAATAAATATTGAGCACAGAACAGATCTTTGTTTGCTCAAAATAACTTGTTTTTTGTGCAACAATAATTACATTGTACAAAATGTAATTGATGTACTTATAAAATATATTAAAAATATATGTGCTCAAAATGTCCCATTATCCTGAACATATTAGTTATGATTATTTATATTTCAGCTTCAGACAAGATTGTCTTTATACAACATGAAACGCTCACACACACACACACACACACACACACACACACACACACACACAAACACCATGTCATATTGGCCATTATTCTTAGAGAGAGGGAGTAATCATCTCTAAAATTGTTTGTTGCAGCACATGTTACCAAATAATAACGCGTCCATTAAACCTGTCTCGCCTCTCTTTGTTCAGACATCATTCTGCTCAAATGTGTTTTATAGTGACAACAGATAACAGTGGACTTGTTTGAAGAGCAGCTCAAACATCATATGCATTAAGACACCAACGTAGAGAGGCTTCTGAGCACACCAGCTCCAGCGGTAGAAAGCGAGTGCACATTAGATACTGTTTTGATTCTTTAAGAGCTTTTGATGACAAGCTTTTAACCAAATGCCACCCAGTCATTTTTCTGAGTTGTTGTTTGCATAATTCAAGCCCTTCAAGCAAAGCATTTGCTGCTGAAAATATAAATGACAAAGCCTTTCAGGGTACTCATCATTTTAAATGTTTTTGTTTATTTCTTTTGTGTTTATGGATTCAAGTTGTTAGCTGTTACTGAAAATATGCTTTTTTCAGACAATAAAGCAACTTTAATGACCAACTGGCATTTAAAGTTCACAGAGGTTTCATTTAATCATCATTGCAGACAGGCTCCACATACTGAAGCTGGTATTTATTTCTACAGCTCAGTTTTTGTTGACTTTCTCTGGGCTCACTAGCAGCCACTGTTGTTTCCTGTGGAGAGTTACATCAAACTAAGTTCATTTGAGGAATTGGGATATGACCCGAGATGAAGATAAATGGATTACATTAATGTGAAATAACCATAGAATGGTTTCCTTATGCTGAGTCGGAAATTGAGTTACAGTACAGCCACTGAACATTACAGTATAAACAGAATGAATGGCAGGAGCCTGTTTGTGTGTTGGTCTAACGTCTGACCCCAGACCTGACTGATGACCTGTCTCTTGATGTGCGCAGCTTGCTTGTTTATGGTGAAGATGAAGCAAGTCAATATGAGCATCTGTGGGCCGAAATCCCCATTTGTTGTCTGGTTTTCAGAGCATGACATTTCCTGCAGCTGCCTGTGCTGGAACATTTTTAACATGCACAACATGTACAAGAGGGAGTCCATGTACAAGTGGTACTGTACTTGAGTACAAGAGTACTAATATGGCGCGTTCACACGCCCCGTAAAACTCCCAAAAAGTTTTGTGAAGCCGCCATTTTATTATCCTCGCATTAGCATTATTAGCATTAGCCCAGCGCACCAACGCAGAGAGACTAACTTATGGCAACACAAAATAAAACATGGGAGCGGTGGAGATGAGGAGGTGTCGGCGTTCTGGCGATTTACTCGGAAGGCTTCAGTAGAAGCTGCTGGGAGTCCCAGCAGCTTCTACTGAAGCCAGTCCCCAACTCCGGGGACTTCCAGCCGGGGACTCCGGGTGGCAGTATACGCCGTGAAGTGGTTTGCGGCCTGCCAGTAAACCCAAAGCAGAAGAAGAAGAAGTGACGTCAGCGGCTTAATTTGCCTAATCCTTCCCCAGGAACTCATTGCGGTGTGAACGCGATCTGCTTTAGTTCATCAGAACTAAAAGAGTTCTCATGAACTATTGTGGGAAAAGAACTTGGTGTGAACGCCCCTATAGTTTAAAAATGTTCCTGTCAATTTTGCAAGGACTTTGGTAGTTTATAGACAAACAAGGACACATACAAATTATAATCCTGTAGGGTTTTCTTAATGTTATTATATCACAATTTCAGCTGTGACCTGCAAACATGTTAATGAGGTCGATGTGAGCATGAAGAGCCAATGGCCTCGCTTCAACTCTCAACTCATAACCAGGGCTCTGTCCTTTCTCCTCCATTCTTGTTTCATATGTCCACATCACTGCGTCTATAAGCATGCTTATGTGGAATATAGAGGGTTTTTGGTAGTGTATGACAGCCATCCGTGAACATTTTGTAGAATAAAGGGATTTTTTAAGTTTTTGGGATGGGTTATAGTGTAGAATGGCCTCCTAATGCTGACTGTTTTCTTTCGTTCATCAGCTCTACACATAAGCTTTCAATAATGCCCTGTACTCACTGCTTTAACAAGTTAAACAAATTACATTTTATGTAAAGATTCCTCTGGCAAGATAGTGTTCCCATCGAGGGTTTTTTTGTATTAGTATTGTAATAAAACTTCAGCTATATTGAAAGTCTGCAATATGACAACTTATTGGCTTCAAACACATGGTGTGATAGGAATGCTGTCTATCAGTATTTAGCAGTTTGGCAGCAAAGCTTAATTATATTTTCTAAGTGTTCAACATATGTTTGGATTAGCGACTGTCACAATGATGAATGTCTCATACTGAGGGACCAGGAGCAAAACTGATGTATTTCATAAGGCTTTTTCTGAGCTAATGGAAAAATATAAGCGTTTCACAGCATAACCACACGTCTGTATTTGTGTTTGTTCCAGGTGATGAAACTGCGTAAATTGGCCCAGCAGATTGCAAACTGTCGCCAGTGTCTGGAGCGCTCCAGCTCCCTGATCACACAAGCCGAACAGAGCCTGAAGGAGAACGACCATGCCCGCTTCCTCCAGACCGCTCGCAATGTAGCAGAAAGGTGTGTGATTAAACTTTGCTGTTATCAGTGTTTGTTTGGAGGTGATATTGTAGTTTTTTTGTAATATTTGACAATGTACATCAGTGGTGAGAGACATCAGCAGCACATCAATAGGCTATTCAGAAGAAAAAAGACACAAAATACCCGACCCGTGGTTAAATGCACAACATGTGGTAAGACAGATAGATATTAAAAACCCTATCCTGCAATTTTCCTCTCTTCTGGAAATATGATCTTGGAAAAAAAGTAATGAAATATGCATTATATAAAATTTCTTTAACTCCTCCAGTCAATACCAGGCCTGTGGTAAAAAACGCCTCTAAGTGCCGAGCTCTGCGGTTTCACTTTCCACCTGCGTACTTCTCTAATATCTTCCTACCACCACAGCTTTCTCTCACAGACAAAGGTCTCTGCAAAATCTGCTGCTAGCATAGCATCTTTTTATTTGGCCTACACTCTGCTTTTTCCCATTACCTGGCTGGGTGCTTTATTGAGCGCCTTGTTCCTCAGGGGGAGAGAAAGCAGAGTCTCCGGCCCGCTCTGTAACCCTGCCAGCTCCGAGCCTCAGACTGGCTCCTGCCTCAGACTGAGGCTCAGAGCAGAAGTAGGCACAAGTCTCGTCAGAGCAGCACAGACTGTGTAGTCAGTGTGTGTCTCCGTTTGAGTTTTGATGGCTCTCTTGGTTAACACAAAACTCTGAGGTAGTGATTGTTTATAGGGCATGTTGCAGACTTGTTTTTTTATTATATATTTTATTGCTTTAAATTTCCGTTCCGCCTTCTCTCTCTCTCCCTTATAATTTTCTCACTATCTTCCTCCTCTCTTCCTTTTATCACAACACTTCCTCCCCCTCTCTCCTTACATTTGTCCACTTCTTCATCACCTTTCATATTTGACTACCCCACTCTCTTCACCTCAACTGACGTCTCGGCCCTCCTCCCCCCTCCCCCCCCCTCCCTCTTCGCTCTAACTCTCCCCTGACATTTCTATTGCCTCGCTCCCATGTCCCGCTCTATAGGGTTGCCATGGCGACGGCCTCCTCCCAGGTACTCATCCCTGACGTCAACCTGAACGAGGCGTTTGACAACTTTGCCCTGGACTTTTCCCGAGAGAAGAAGATCCTGGAAGGGCTGGATTACCTAACAGGTAGGAGCTGTGTGTTTACAGTAAGCAGCCTTTCCATCACTTAGTTTAAAACGTTTTTAAACAAATGATTTATTTATATATTTCATCTCAGGCCCAACCATTATAGGTTTTAAAAGACACCAAAAATACAGTTGCAGTGGTCAAAACATTTCATTTTATTAGATTTAATTACAAAATGTAGGGTTTGTTATCTTGAAGAGTCAAACTAAATATTCAGTTTTCATCCAAACTTGCAACACTGTTCCTTTTACTTTTTATATAACTATATGTTGTCAGTTGTTGATTCTCCAGTGCATTTAAATGTGGACTTTACTGTATGCTTATCTTGACACAGGACCCATTTCTCTCCTAGTGAATACTACTAACCCTAACCCTATCATTTAAACCAGTTTATTGACACCATTTTAACTTGTTTTTACTATAAATCATGTTGTTGTTTCCATGCCTAGCTCCCACCCCTCCATCCATCAGAGACGAGCTGTGCACCGCCTCTCACGACACCATCACTGTTCACTGGACGTCCGAGGACGAGTTCAGCGTCACCTCCTACGAGCTGCAGTACACCATTTACACCGGCCAGACAAATTTCATCAGTGAGTCTTTGCACACTCAGACACACAGAACATTTAATCAGTACTGCAGATCACATGCACTCATTATCTGAGCATGTAAGGAATTTCATGTTTAATTGGGTTTCAGGAACAGCCAGGGGATTACTCTGGGATTGTTTTAATCAAGGTTTGGCCAAGAGGGATCAGATACTTTGTTGACCTGTGTTTAAATACCATACCAATTTAATTTGTCAGGGAAATGGGAAACTGAAATATTAGATTTTCTTTTCATGTCGTTTTCAAAGTAAGAAGTTCCTTTAAATATCAAACTGGCTATTTAGAGCTTTTGAAGAAAGAGCCGCCCTTAAGTTGCCTAAAAATGGTTGGAAATACATGATTCAAAATGCACTCATTACGTTACATGACATTGCATTTAGCTGACGCTTTTCTCCAAAGCGACTTACAATAAGTGCATTCGACCAAGAAGATACAAACTTGAAGAAAACAGAATCATATAAGTACATCAGGTTTCATAGAGCCAAAACATTTCAAGTGAGTGCACTCTGCTAACATGGAGGCTCCTTGTATATGATAAGAGCAGAATGACTGCATGGTTCCTCGATATAAAGATCAATGGACTCTCCGATAGTGCATCAATCGAGTTTTAATCATTTTTATCGAATGCTTTCAAATTGAAAGAGCTTTTTAAGTAAGACAATTTAACTTTTGAAAGAAGAAATAACACAAATATTCCTCTTAAAATAGATAATACTACATTTTCCCTGTAAACACTTTTCTTACTGCTTCAGTTTAACTGACTAAGGTAAGCTAATTTGAGTAAGGTGTTGCTTTATAACGGACATTGCTGGGTTAATTTATCTGACTTCCTTTTCCTTATTTGTGTTTCAGTTTACAGTATCCTATACAAATACAGTTTAAGCACAAACACATTTATAAGACGCATAGGATACGTATCTACACCCACACTCATGCACAAGCCCAAAGGAAACCCACAGTTCACACTGACCTCTCTGCTGCTACAAAGATAAATAAACTGGAGCACCACAATACTTTCAGCATTGCTCAGTCTTATTTTCATATGTTCAATATTTTCTACCAACTGTGTTGCATAACCTAGTTTTTCGGTCCAACTTTACTCTTTGTTGTCCTCCATGCTCGTTTTAATAGGGATATAGAGCTGAATTATCAAGTATTTTTGTTATAAAAACAGGACGTGCAGTACATATCACAAGGGGATGCTTCAAATAGATTCACTATTTAGTATCTGGTTTTGGTTTAAGCTGTGTGTGGGAAAAAAAGATGAGAATGCAGAACCCCTGCTGCCCTCTTTTGTCCTCTCACATTTCTCCCTATACAGAAGCTTATTTTTGATTCAGGCTTGTAAAATTTCATGATTTATATTTGGGATATTATGCAAGCATTTCGGCAGCAGAGTTTAAGTCTCTCAAATGTTTCCTTACATTGTATAATTTCCCTCACTACACCGTCTCTTTTTTGGCCATTGCAAAGTTATTTTAATCAGTGCTTATCTTGTTACCAGTGTAATTAGGAAAGTTTCATCATGTAGAGCTGCAATCATAATGTAGTTATCAAGAGCAAGTCATTTGTTTTTTCATCCAGTTTCCCCCCTATGGTGGTCTCTATGAAGCCCTTAATGTTAAACTCATAATTCCAAATCATGACACTAGGAGCATGTCCTTAATTCATTTGTTAAAGTATAGTTGAATCCACCACAATGGTCACAAATAGTTGTGCCTACTTAGATTGTTGCCTTTTGGACCTTTTTTCACCCCTTGAAAATGTTATTCCATCCTTCCCATATTTGACTTGTCAGAACAGAATATGCCATGTACAATGTGTGCTTTTATAGCATATCATAGCTTTACAAAGTAGTTGTGAGTCTTACTCTCTTGAAATCCCTATACGAAGTCCTTATAATCCTGGACAGCCCCCATTAGTTTGTGAATGTCTATCACAATAATTGAAGGGAAAGAAAGAGCACGGTGGAGGAGGACAGCAGGAGAACAGGTGAGTGGATAATGGTTACATAGGGGAGGTGGAAATTACCACTTGCTGATATGAGTAGGATTATTGTACATAACAGTGCATGTGCACACACACATCTTTGCAGCTCCACTTTCTCTCCCCTCTTTGATTCTTTCACCGTCTCATCTTCTCTCGTCCTCTCTGTGTAACCTGACATCTCCCCGTCCAACCAGACAACTCAAGTGCCCCTGCCATTTGAGACTCAGGATACATTTCAGCTGTGAAAGAGCGAGTGGCTCAGATATTCAGCAGTGTGCTGCCACAGAGTCCTCAGAGATTCACAGGAGAAATGGAGAAAGAGAGAAATCCATTTAGCCTGCCACTTGAATTTTTACCATAGCAGTTTGCTCAAACTTTCCTAGTGGTTAAATGCTCCCACTTGAGTGCCATCCTTTCCCCTCTCGTTTTCTCCTGGCCTCATCCTCAGCCTTGGCCCTCCCATGAGGAGCAGGGTCTTGTGAACCCTGCCTCTGCAGGATCATCCAAGCACAGCAGCAGAAAATAGAATCAGCAACTGAAATCAAATACCATGGAGAAAAGTAAGCAGTGTCAGAAAGCCAAACATGACTGCAAGTAAAGATGTCTGCACTGTCATAGTGTAGCTGCATCCTCCGGCCCTTTGCAAGTTTTACATTGTCAGTCTCAGTCGTTTACATGCCAACTGACATCGCCAATTATCCACTAATAATGTGCATCAGCGATGAGAATTATGTTAATTCCTACAATGAAAATCCATGAAGATGTCAGGGTTTAAGAGAACAAGAGTGAAACTAATTCCCTTTGAGCCATAGTGTTGATTTACTTACTTGATGTTGTTCCTTTATGTCGTACAGTGATGCAAACACAATTAAGTGATACCTACAGCTGTCAAAGAATAAGCCCATTAGTTGATTTTACTGTAGCTGATAGAAGTCGATACCTCTGTTCCCACCGCCGCATGACTTTTTCCCAGTTTCTGCTAATGTGTACACTTTCCTGGGAAGCCTGCATGTTAACGAAACCAGCAATACCTGTACCTGCTGGTTTGATCAGCTTTCATGTGTATTCATAAGCACCAACCTGTGGTGATGTATTAATATGGTTATCACAGGTAAAAAGCTGTGTCACAGTGGGCGTTAGGAGAGCTCAGAGTTTGGTTAAACCCTTTGTATCTCAACAGGGCATCTTTCAGAGTATCAGCAGGATCCATCTGTGTGGCAGAGTGTGATGAAATGTTGATGAGGGTTCAGACTGCAGGAAACTAGTGAGGGTATGCGTGTTAAAGTTATGTGGAGGCACCAAGAGATAGATGCAGGTGAGGCATTTTATTGCTTTTATTGATGCACAGCTACTCACAGAAACACACACACACACACACACACACACACACACACACACACACACACACACACAGTCTCCATCAACCTTATATTGCATCATCAAAGACAAAAACAGCTGCAGTCTGTTTACTCCTCATATTTCCTCCGACACAAACAGACACACACATATGCTGCACATACTGTACACACACACACACACACACACACACACACACACACACACACACTTGATGTCTGAATGCGAGACACAAGTCGATCTATATCCCCCTGTTTCGTTTCAGTCTCTTTTTACAATGGCGCATTCAGTTACTGCCCCCCACACTTTGAAGTCACAATGCTCTCCAAAGGCAGCAGCACTCTGCTAGTATCAGAAAGCCTCTTTTCAGTGGTAAAAGTAGAAATAGCAGTATTGCTGTGTACTGACCTAATTTGATTTTGCAAAAAGGGAGAGGTGCTACGGAGATCAAAAGCTTTAAAAATGGAAAGCAGCATGAAGTCGTTCTCGCTCGTCTCTCCCCTGTATCTCTTTTCGGCAGCTCACATAACATTGGAGCCTACCTAATTCCGACAGGAACGGCTAAACTGACAGGTGGGATCATTTCGCAGTAGGGACAGCTGTCCTAGTAGAACAACATAATTGCTTTTTGCAGGGATCTTATTGACAGGTGTATATTGGTGAGAGCAAGCTGAAAGAAATGCAGATATTACTGCCAATCCCGAGATACCAAATGGATGGTGTACGTGCAAGGTGTCACTTGTTCTACTCCCTCCTTTTAAAGGAAGATCAAAGTCCTCTGCAGTGATTTCTTTGTCAGAGAGAATCTGGTGGAAGTCGGCAGATGTGTAAAGATGCAGCCTTCACTCTAACAGTCCCCTCCTCTCATTTATTCGTAAAGCCTCCTCACTTTTAAAGGCCTTATTTGCGTCCTGTGAAGTATTTATATTTACAAGCAGACTCTTGGCTATTACTTATGCATGCTGTTGCCATCTTGTTCAATAATTCACAAGCCTCACTAGAAGGGACAAGGCATGCATGGCCCTGAGAGCTCTCTCCCTTTCAGGATTTTTATTTCCCTGCAAATCTGCAGGGGCGAGGAAAGATAAGACAAAGAGAAGGATTGTTATTCTACCTTCAACTCTGAAATATTAACTGCAGCTGTAGTGCCTCTAAACTAGATGCTGCGCTAGTTATTATTATTAATTGAATGCATTCGTATATTTGATATATTTGATGGCTGAAAGAAATGTTAACCCTAGCTCTTACAGTTTGCTTATAAGGTATATATTGTGTGTTCAAGGTTCAAGGTTCTTTATTGTCAAACTGACATAGTTACAGAGTAATTATGTTGTTGAAAATCTTATGTCACAGGCTTCTCCAACAATGCAACATAATAACAATACAGATAGCAAGAGCAATACAAAAAGAAAAATAGTTGCAGGTCTCCCTTGAAAAAGAGATCAATGATCTCAATGGGATACAACCTGGATAAATAAAGGTAAAAGAAAGAAAGAAAGAAAGTTATAAAATAAAGTGAGCATGTGGAATAGTGCAGTACGAGTCTATATACAAGTTATTGGAATGATATATATTAGATATTAGATACATATTACTGAGTAGCAGATGAATGTTTTGCAGTTGTTTCAGCAGTTCAATTGTTTAACAGTCTCACTGCCCGCGGGAAGCAACTGTCTCCGAATCTTCTTGTCCTTGCCAGGATGCTGCGGTAACGTCTGCCAGACGGCAACAGAAAGAACAGTTTGTGGCTGGGGTGATGGGGGTCTTTGATAATCCGTAGTGATTTCTTCCTGAGCCGCTGGGAGTAAAGGTCCTCCATGGATGGCAGCTCCGTCCTGGTGATGTGCTGTGCAGTTTTCAACACCCTCTGTAAAGCCTTACGATCGAGGTCGGTGCAGCTGCCGTACCAGGCCGTCATGCTGCCAGTCAGGATACTCTCTATCGTGCACCTGTAGAAGTTGCAGAGTATCCTGGAGTCCATGTTGAACCTCCTCAGCCTGTGGAGGAAGAAGAGCCGCTGTCGAGCTTTCTTGGTGATGGTGGTGGTGTGAAGAGACCATGTCAGGTCCTCAGTGATGTGGACCCCAAGGAACCTGAAGCTTTTGACTCTCTCCACCGTAGTCCCATTGATGGCGATGGGGGCGTGTCCCTCTCTCTGCTGCTTCCTGTAGTCCACAATCAGCTCCTTAGTTTTGCTGATGTTGAGATGGAGGTTGTTATCCTGGCACCAAGATGTCAGGTTTTCGAACTCCTCTCTGTACGCCGTCTCGTCATCGTCTATGATCTGGCCGATGACGGTCGTGTCATCAGCAAACTTCACGATGGTGTTGGAGCTGTGTGTGGCCACACAATCGTGAGTGAACAGGGAGTAGAGGAGAGGGCTGAGCACGCAGCCTTGAGGGGCTCCGGTGTTGAGGATCAGGGTGGAGGATGTGATGTTTCCCACCCGCACTGCCTGGGGTCTGCCCGTCAAGAAGTTCAGGATCCAGTCACAGAGGGCGCTGTTGAGCCCGAGGTCTCTGAGCTTGATGGCCAGCTTGGAGGGCACAATGGTATTGAATGCTGAACTGTAGTCAATGAACAGCATTCTCACATATGTGTTCCTGTTCTTCGGGTCCAGGTGTGAGAGGGCAGTGTGGATGGTGTGGGCTATGGCGTCGTCTGTGGACCTGTTTGCTCTGTAGGCAAACTGCAGGGGGTCAGGGAGGGAGGAGGTGATGAATGATTTGACTAACCGCTCAAAGCACTTCATTATGATGAAGGTGAGTGCTACTGGGCGGTAGTCGTTGGGGCAGGTGATTATTGTCTTTTTCGGGACAGGAACGATAGTGGAGTGTTTGAAGCATGTGGGGACTACAGACTGCAACAGGGACCTGTTGAAGATGTCTGTGAACACCTCTGCCAGCTGAACGGCACACACCCTGAGAACACGGCCAGGGATGCCATCAGGTCCAGGAGCCTTGTCTGTTCATGAAGGAATTTTTTGTCAAATTGTTGCTGAAGCTAAACACTTTTAATAGCACTGAAATTAATAAAACAAATAATTGTATTTCAGTAGTAAAGTAGCAACTGTCACTCATTCCAAAAGTGTTAAATATGATGCCAACAACATCTGCCCTCTGCAACTACTACCATATTAAATGCACACCTCTCACATTGAAGGTTCATATTTAAAATCAGACAAACACTACTTTATGAAATCATATGTTGTGGGTTAGGGAAGGGGTGTGATTCAGTCACTGTAAGTGTAAATTACTCAACGTTATGAAACACTAAAGGACAGAAAAAGCTCTCTTTTGTAGACGCGGGTTTCCTCACCTGAGCTGAGAATCTGCTGTATCCTTCACAGTCGGCTGCAGCTGACAGACTGTAAAGACTTTGTTTTAAAGCAGGTGACTGCAGAGCTAACTCAGCCATTGCTAAGCCTCAACTGCAAGCTGCTCTAAATCAAAGAGCCCATCTACTGGGGTCATGTAGGTTTGACTCACATTTCCTTACATTTGAACATTAAAGGTATCGCAGTCGTTTGCCCTAAGGCGCTTACTACACATAGTCTGTCATGGAAGTACCTTGTTCTCAATGGGGATTCAGCTTAGTGAACACACAATATGGCCTCAGGGGAGAAAGCCAAGGTAATCGTGATGGAAAGGTAATGGGGTGGATCAGTATGTTCACATAAATGTTGCATAACATTGCAGATTGTATGGTCTCTGAGCTTCCTACTGTGTGATGGCTCACTATGTGTTTGGAGAAAAGATAACATTTGGTTGGATGTAGAGAATAGTGTTTTTCTCTTTTGAACATCAACGTATCGTTTTCAGTAGGACGGTGCTTACCCCTAAAGACATAAGCAGAACATGGTTACTCATGCTCTGTGTGTGTTGTTGTGTGTGTTTCTGCCAGGTTTGTACAACTCTGCAGACAGCTGGATGATCGTACCTAACATCAAGCAGAACCACTACACGGTGCACGGCCTGCAGAGTGGCACCCGTTACATCTTCTTTGTCAAGGCTATCAACCAGGCAGGAAGCCGCAACAGTGAGCCAGCCCGCCTGAAAACCAACAGTAAGTGAAGGCTGCTCTGCCTCTGAATATTTACAAGCCTTGTTAATTTGTTTTTTTGATATTTAGTACACACTTTTTACCGTCTGCATCATTTGTGAAACATAACATACAGACTGTCCCTAATCAAGGTTTTTCTTTTACTTATAAATGATGAAAAAACAAGTAGCAGAATCAGACCTAACTTAGATTCGATTTGTATCAATATGTATGGCTTGCTTTTGGTTTTCAGCCTGAATGTAACAGGATATATATGAAACACTTATTTTTAGTCATGAAAGTAATGTCTCATTGCCCAATGTGTGATGTGCCCAAAATGAGACAACCTGCATGAAAACACACCTTTTGCTTCTATATTAAGAGGGGGTTTGAGTTCAGACATTTTCTTAGCAAAGGAGTTCCATCTTACATAAAAGTCATCAACATGTCTTTGGGTTTGGCATAGATCACACATAATGAAAATGTGTTAGTGCTTTAATTTTGGATGCATTCATTATGTTTTTATAGGAGAGTTAAAAAAACGGAGCTTTTAAGTGCTTCTTTTTTTATCATCTCTCCTAAAATCCTGTCGACTTGTAGTTGTTCAAATGCTTATATTATACTCACCAGACTCACATTTTCAAGTATGAACAAGTGGAGAAAGTTAAAAGCTAGCAATATATACCCCTTTATATACTACTTTCATTTTTCAGTTTGTTTTTTGGGGGACTATACAACTATCTCTCTCTCTGTCTCTCAGGGACGTTTCTCAGTTTCATGTTTAGCAGAGAGTTTCTTAACTTGTGTTTTTGACACCTTCTCTGCCTCTCAGTCGTACACTCCTTGTCTCTTGCACATTGCTGTTTCTGTCTCTTTTTGTTTTGTTTATTCTCTGCTGTGGAAACTTGTCCTGCACTTGAACTCCCTCTTATTGAATTTTCCTTTCCCTTAACAGTACACAGTAGATGAATATAAATAAGAAAGACAATTAAAGGTAGGGTAGGTAATTCACTTCAGAAACACTTTTTGTTGTATTCCATGGAATGCTCTTAACATCCCGATAGCAATCAATACATTAAATGCTTTGACAATAAATACATAAAAACATTTCATCTGTGGAAGCCGTGGCGCTGTAAAAAGCACGACCAATCATCTGAGCCGGCCCGGCTAAAATAACTGGACCTGCCTGTCAGCCTTCCATCTGTGCACAAACTTATCTCGTGCCCTCATTGGTCATGTGCGCGTTCGTGTGTGTTGGAGGAGGGGCTCTGTAAGGAAGTCTGAAGGAAGGGGCAGATTTTTTTCGGCTGCGTACTTTCAAATTCTAGCGCACTCGAGCTGGTTTCTCCATTCTTAGCTACCCTACCTTTAAGCAAACGTTACCAAATTGTCAGTAAATAAAATGAAAATATGCAATAAATTATTAAAGCTAGTACACTAAGCACATATTCTAAAAAGTGCTTAGTAAAGCATAACCAACAGATCTCAAGTGAAGTCACATTACTTACTAAATATTCCACACCCCAATCTCCGGCTCAACTGAAGCATATAAAAGGTTAAAACCTCAGCAAAAAGCTCATTTAGGATTTGCCTCAAGGGAGCTCAATGAAATGTTTCATGTGGAACCTACTTGAGCAGGTCTCCCTTGAAAAAGAGATCAATAATCTCAATGGGATACAACCTGGATAAATAAAGGTGTGAAATGAAATGAAATGTTAACTTCAGTCCTAAATTGGAACTGCAGTGAAGCTACTGTAAAGAGGAGTTGATATGCCAGCTGTCAGGAGTCTGGCTGTGGCATTTAGGATTAACTGTAATCTGGATTCACTGTGTGGGTAACATAGGTGTGTGAGAAACTGCAGTAGTCAGAGGATGATCCCTCTCTCTCTCTCTCTCTCTCTCTCTCTCTCTCTCTCTCTCTCTCTCAGCCACCGACACAAACACCAACTCTCTCTCTCTCACACTTTGCTGTTACTCACTCTTGCCCTCTAATCAGTCCAGAGGTCACAAATAATCCAACCTGCCAGCGTCAACACTAATGACTAAGAACAGACAAAAAGAAATCAGAGTTTATTTTGCTTGACATTACCTTAAAAAATGGTGCCTTTTTTGATTAAAGAGATAAGAGAAACCATACTTTGGTAATGTCTCAGCTACATATATGTTTTGGGAAAACTGCCATGTGCCTGAATCCGCAGCTCCTCTTAGCTTCATAAAGCTTTATAGGCAGCTTCAGCTAATTGGCTCTCCATATCGCAACTTTACTGTTCCCTCTTACCGCTCTCAAAGGGTCATTTTTGGCCTCGACAGGCAGCTGCTTATTGGTTAAAAAGCTCTTTGAACCCAATGTACATAACCTGCTCAGGATCAGAGGGCAGACAGACACAGAAAGTGACAGTAGTCGGTGAACAAAGTGGAACCATCAGCAGCTAAAGAGCCAGACATGTCTTTCAGTGGTTCTGAGATCCAAAAAATATAAAGGTGAAGGATGTGAATCAATCAGCTGATCACAAACATGTTGTGTGTGTCCAAATGGTAACTTCCAGAGATTTGAGATCTAGGCTAAAACACATTTATGGCCATCCTTCAGTCTATTGTCATTTCTACAGTTTTCTTATATGTAGCTTTTTATATTGTACTTGGTATGTTCTCTTTGTTTTTTCCACTTTTTACTTTAATGTTCATTCATACAGCACTCTGATAAGCTCAAGCTGTGTTTAAATGTGCTCCAGAAATAAACTATACTTACTTTATTGTATGCTGCCCTTATAAAAAGGACCATTATTGTGGGAATGTTCTCTCTTCGTATAACTTAAGGCAGAAGTTGGTTCCAGGCTAATAGGACACATCGGAACACTTTTAATTGTCTACCCTTTTTACGTTCATATTCCCAATTAAAAATACTTTATAGTTAGGAGCGATAAGGGTCCTCTAATGAGAGCTCCACCACTACACCTGTCCTGTATTTGATACTGCCATCTGGCACTTTAAAGTGAACTCCAATCGCTCTGTTTCCAACAAGCAAATGCTCCACATGGCCTCGTCCCACTGCAGCGGTCCATCAAATAAACCCAAGCCCTCCCATCTGAATCTCTGCCCCCCCCCCAAGTCAGAATCTTCCAGACACACCCTGCCTGCGGGACATGGAGCGTGTCAGAACTGTAACTCTTTTCTTATGGCATTAAAGTGGATTACTGCCTCCGTGTGATGTGGGCACGACGTGTACCCTGAGAGGGTTTAGAGGTGAAGTGCAGGGTATCTGGAGCTCGCTGTCACCGAGGCTCATGGCTCTTACTGGGCACGATATAAATAACACTAAGAAGCATTTCAATATATCATGTGCTCCCTTGACACAGATAAGCGATGAGCGCGTATAGATGTTTTTTTCCATTGTTAATATCACATCTGTTATGTGTCTCTCACTTCAGTGATATAAAGTGACACACAATGAACACTGTGAGAGTTATGCCACGTTAAAGTTCCACCAAAGAGAATCTGAATAATCTCTTCTTTTGGAAATTGAAATTAGATATTATCTTGCTCTCCTTTTTTTACACTTTTCAATTATAATTGGCTTTATTAGCAAGACAATAGAATGTGTGTTTCCAAAGCATATAGAGAAAGAACAAATTGATTGCAGGGCTGAAACAATTAGGGTTATATTAAGGGTTGAATAAAAAGTAATTATGAAAAGTGGACAAAGAAATATTTTTTCTTTCTTAGCTCTCATTAAATTCATGTCAGAAGCTCCAAGTATATTTGATTTTCACATCACACAAAACAAAATCTGTATCATATTTGTACAAAGCACAGAGACCATGAAGTTGAGTTTGTTAGAGGTTGAATATCATTGAAACCATGAAAAATTAAGCACCAGTTTGACCCAACATCTCTCTGCCTGTTAGCAATATACATAAATGTATTCTGTAGGAATCTATTTAACAGCAGCAACATGACGTTTTCTTTAGTGCAGTTAAGTTTAGTAGTTAAGTTTTAGTGCTATACACTGCTATTAAATAGCCCCCCCCCCCCCCCCCCCCCCTCCTCTGAGACTCCCACTGTCTGTCATCTTCTTCTCTGACATCCGCATGTATCGGGGGAAACTTGTCCACCCACTGAAGTTTGGTTTTAGATTTCGAGCTGCGATTGGCACCCGGCATTTCTCTTTGCTATAATGACTTTGACAAGCCATCAAAATAGCAAACAAAACATTCAATATTAGTACTCATTATTGAGGTTTTGTGGTGTTCATCGTGTCACCTGCATCATGTGTTTTAGCTTCAGTCTGTTCATTTCTTTCTCTTTTCTCCCACTCTCTACTCACAGAGGAATTGGTATTCAGATGAAAGTGCCTCACTCATCTGTTCTGGTGAAGCCGAGCAGTGTTTTTTGGATAAAAAAAATGGGTCACAATGAAACTGATCACAAATATCTCCGTTTGACAGGCTAATTAGGTTTGTCTCTCGAGTCTGTTGGTGAACGAGTTGGAGTAGCGAGCTTTTGAACTGAGAACCGCAAGTTCTTTCCATGGCACTTGAAGTCTCTCTCTCTGTCTGTGCCTAGATTGGATGGTTTAGCTTTCACATATTTTAAGATGATAGGCTCTGGAGGCTTTTAGCCTAAGCTCATCATATATTTCAGGCAGAGGCTTGCTAAGCAAAGCAGGCAGTGACAAGTTGCACAGATACTGGAAAGTCGTGCATCAGTACACTCATTAAAGCTGCACTGTATGTGTGTAAAACAAATCTGAATGCAGCGAACTGTGCCAATATGGTACGCAGAAGGCAAGCACAAGGGTGAACTGCCAGAATTGTTTTAACTGAATAATGCGAATTAAAGTAAACAGTAGAAATCTGAACTCTTTTCTCTGTAATCAAAGATGTTGCAAGAGAATACTTGTTCTACTTTAACCTCAGAGGACATAATCAAAGCACTCCATGCTTAAGAAGAGATGATTTTGAAGAGGCTTTGTTAAAGTCTGTTGTTTCAGTTTCCTTGGCCTCAAACTCTCTGTGTTCCCATTC